CATGGAGATGATGGGAAGTTTAGTTATTAAATCATCTTAATTAGTAAATAAGAAAATTAGTGCATGTCAGATTCATGACATCCTTTTCTAGATTTGCCGGGAATTATAAAAATAGCATGAAATTAAAACACAAATTAGCTAAACAGATTTCTTGTATTAGTTAACTAAAATTTGACTCAATTACACTCAGCAAATTTGAAATTTTATCGTGAATTTTATTTATTTGTTTACTTATTGGTGATACAGTTCCGTCTGCTCCGGGATTTCCCCTTTCACACCTACTCCTGTGGGACAGTTCTCCTCCCTCCTCTGATTTTTCCTATATTACTATGATAGTACAGTCCTTCAAAACCAGTCAGAAGTCCAACATTCTGCTACTTAAGTGTGTCACAACATTGTAGGTAGAGACAATTTGTAGGTAGGCAAAGTCCAGCATCCTATTGTTACTGTATTTTTAAAGCAGTTGGAGGATCTAGAAATTTGGCACTTACCTGTACCAAGAACTCTTTAGTTTGTTGACATCTACCAAACAATAAAGTGCTTTGCCCCACTTTAGACTAATTAATGAACTATTGTATGAGGGTTCTTTTAAAGATGTATTTGTTTATTTCAAAGGCAGAGTCACAGAGGGAAAGGGAGAGACAGAGAGAGAGATAGCTTCCATTGGCTGACTTAGTCCCTTAATGATCACAGCAGCTGCATCTGGGCAGTCCTAAGCCAGGAACCAGGAGCTTCTTCTGGGTCTCTCACATGGATGTAGGTTATCTTCTGGTGATTTGTCATGCACATCAACAGGGAAGCAGATCAAAAGTGTAGCAGCGGGCCCGGCATGGGGGCCTAGCGGCTAAAGTCCTTGCTTTGAATGTGCCAGGATTCCCTATCGGTGCCGTTTCTAATCCCGGCAGCTCCACTACCTATGCAGCTCCCTGCTTGTGGCCTGGGAAAACAGTAGAGGACAGCCCAAAGCCTTGGAAACCTGCACCCGCGTGGGAGACCGTGAAGAAGCTCTTGGCTTTGGATTGGCTCAGCTCCAGCCGTTGCACTCACTTGGGGGAGTGAATCATCGGACGGAAGATCTTCCTCTCTGTCCCTCCTCTCTGTATATCCGTCTTTCCAATAAAAATAAAATAAATCTTAAAAAAATTAATCTTTCTATTAATAGTTTGGCATGTTGAATATATGAAGTCAGTTTTGTTTTTAATTGTGTCTTTTGTTTAGTTTTATTACCTTGAGATGTAATTTCTATTTATCTGATACCTTTGGAACAATAGTCCTATTAAACAAACAACAAAAATAACAGAAAATGAAAAGGGTAACTCATCCTTGGGTTAATTAATTAATTGATGATGTTTAGATGGTTGATCAGGATGGGAAGGGTTGAGGGTTGGGGGAAAGTGGGTGAGACCATTGTTTGCATATTTTCTTTTCCTTTTTGTTGTATCTGGGAAAAGGAGAAAGATAAGAGGAAAAGCATCAAACAGCTTCCCAACTGCCTCAGTACCAGGGGGTAGGGAATGGCCACCCATACGGTGGAGTTTTACATCCAAAATATAAAATCACATCACCTTGTATGTTTATGTATGAAGTGTAATTCTAATTGCTTACTCTTAGAATTTATAAAAAATAAGACCTGGCGCAGTGCACAAGTGGCTAAAGTCCTCGCCTTGAACATGCTGGGATCCAATATGGGTATCAGTTCTAACCCCAGTAGCCCTGTTTCCCATCCAGCTCCCTGCTTGTGGCCTGGGAAAGCACTCAAGGACAGCCCAAAGCATTGGGACCCTGCACCCACGTCAGAAACCCAGAGGAGATTCCAGGCTCCTGGCTTTGGATCAGCTCAGTTCCAGCTGTTTTGATCACTTGGGGAGTGAATCATCAGATGGAAGATCTTCCTCTCTGTCTCTCCTCCTCTCTATATACCTGACTTTGCAAAAAAAACCAAATCTTATAAAAACAAAGAATGTTGACTCAAGAAAAAGTACTTCAAATATGAATAGATGTTTGTAGGTGGAAATCCAATCTACATGCAATCTACAGGTGCAAGGGAGCTTGCAGTAGCCAGTACATATTTTGAACTGACCTCAGCTTTTCTCCTTGGGGCACTCCTCTTTGACATGGGGCTGGAACCATTATCCACAGCAGGCTCCACCAATAGGTTTTTGCAAGCGAATTTGTCGTCTTGTTAATTTGGTTTGTGTTTTGTGAATGAATTCTGTGGGAAAACCAAGACATACTGTTCTCTGTAATGACACCTGACAAGTCATTTCTCACTTGTGAGATCTCTAGGGAGAACACAGAATGATTAGAAGAGGTAAAATGAGTCAGAGAGGAAGATATCTTTCACTCAGCTTACCATCACTCCGTGCATTTCTCTATCTAAAAATTAACCTGTGACCCCAGCAATAGGTTACTTTAACACACAGAACTTCCCTTCAAAAATATTATTATAACTTACCTTCACCACAGAAGTGCTGTTGGTTTGTTGGAGTGTACGGATTTAGGAACTTCCAAGGAACAGCAGGTTAGTTTTAACCTTTTAATATGACCCAAGTACATGTTTGAGATTTTGTGTGTTAATCACTCTTGTTTTAATATCAATAAGTTAGATGTTTCCTCACCCAGGGTTTAATTCAGAGTTTTTTTGGGATAGTTTCAAGAAACATTACTTGAGAAATTCTTGAAAGATTTACATGTAATTCCTGATGGTAACTTTGAATACTTGAGCATGTAAAACTCTGTTGTTTTTCTGATAGATTTACTCCAGATTACTACATTTTATTTTTGTTTTCTAACTCTAGATGTTATCTGCAAAGCATGATTGTATTAGAATATCAGATTAATTTTCTGGAAAGTATTGATAATATATGTTCTGTTGTGTTGTGTAAGATATGCAAAGACCACAAGACAGCCGTCAGGATAGTTTAATTGAGATAATAAAAATCTTGAAAAGCTACAAAGATGTGTCTGTTTTTTTTTAACATATGTCTGTAAATACAGATATGTGTAAATGGAAACTATTCATTGAAACTGGAAAATATTTCAAAATATGTAAATGACACAGTATTAAATAATTGCTAAAATGGTTTAATGCTATTTTAAAGTAAATTATTCTAAAGTATCAATAATACACCAGCTTAGTCAAATCTTGAACTACTTCTATCAGCTACACCAATCTAAAACTATCTCTACTTTCATTTCACAATTAATGCATTATTATCAATATAAAATATATGGATATTTTCTTAAGGTGTACAATGATCATATTTAAAGTATTTAAAAGGCCAACAATATGTTTTATACATAGTGTTATTTTAAATATTCACAGGTAAAACCAAGTAATGAAATAACATTAAGATATATTCTCAGCATTTGTTACACAAGAATAAATATCCTTTGTTAGCCTACTTTTGGACTTTAAAACAGCATTCCATAATTAGTAACAAATCTAATCTCTTTACATAATAACCATTTGCTTGATACTTTAGAAACATCTCACTTATAGCTATTAATTTTATGAGATCATCAAGAATTATATAGATACAGAGATCATGAAGTGTGTTTTGGTCTGAGACGTTAAAATAGCTTTCCCTGTGCCCCAACATTAAAGTTGAGGCCACAACTAATAATATAGGAGTTCTTGTTGCCCAACAAATATCTTATCTGATTGATTCTGCCTTGTTTTTATTAACATTATATTCCTAAAAGGTAATAACTTTCATAAGGGCTGTGATTGTATTGATTGGTTTTCAGGAAATGTATGACTTCTAGGTTTTATTTAAATTGTGGGTAGTTATTGAATTATTTTGAATTAGTTTGAAGTTTTTCAAGAGTTTTTTTTAATTGTGATTCACACAATCTTTTTTTTTTTTTACAACCATAATACTTTATTGAATGGCTGTTAGCTCTAAAGCATTAATATATAGTTATAGATTTTAAACATTAATACAATACAGAAGAGTATTTGTTTAGAAAAATTACAGTTTTATTAATAGTTTCACTAAAACATACTAACCAATTTATAAAACCAAAACTGTAATTTCAACTTGTAAGTAGATTGTAAAATGTCTAATAGTTGAGATTTCTCAAAATGGCAAATAGTTTCAAATTAAGTCTCTTAAGAGATTCTAGGACTTTCTCTAGTTTTCAGAGATAATATTTATAAGTAAAATAATAGTTTATTTGGATCAACAGCAAGGTGGGAGAAGCAACCCACTTTCTTCTAAATACCAAGGACGCTTATAGTATATTGCCACTCCAAGAATTTTGTGGTTGCAACTAATTACACATTTTCTTTTTACCATTTTTTAAGAGGACTAAAGGTAGCAATTCACTAAATCTATATTCATTGGGTGAAGGAATTCAAGAAACTCTTTGGATTTAGAAAACTGAATTAGAAATACTAGTAATAACTTCATTTCATATATTTTTACTCTGAATGCAGGGCATTCTATCTTCCTATCTTACTAACTCTCATTTTGAAATTATATACATCAAGCAGGTGATGCTGTAGGGAATTACAGCACACACATTTTAATTACAATATAAAGCTAAAATTTGCATAGGGGTGGACCTAACAGTTGATGAGCTGCAACTATATTAGGAATATTTTCATTTGATAACAGATGAGTGGGTCATTTCAAAAACATCTAATTAAAGTAAGGTCAAATACTGTTTTACAAAGGCAATGAAAACAAAGGGTGTAATAAAACGGCATCATCATTATGAGATACATTTCTACCTGTGTGTTTTATAAGGCAAATACAGGTCAATCCTTGCCCTAGGCTTATTAGGCTTACATGTTATAATACTCTAGAAGGCTAAGTCACAAATCATAAACACAACATAAAATGATCTTATCTCCATGAACTTTTTGCTCGTCCAAAACTCTTGTGAAAGCACCCGGGATGAAAGGTAATGCTGGAAGACAATGAAGCACCACTACACAAAACCTTAGACTGAGGTCAAAATCTAGCTTAGAAGTCAGGAACAAGTCGTTAGAGTGCAGATGTATTATTTATTTATTTATTTATTTATTTATTTATTTATTTATTTATTTTTGTTACCTGCACTGCCACTGTGTTTTTCTCTAGATGAAACTGGGCAGAATCTTTTGAATGTAGTCCAATTGGGAGTCCAGTGTGATGTGTGGTGTGTATAAAGCATTCACAGTTCTTAAAAGATTGAATTAACAGTCATGAAGACAGAAACTGGTCCACACAGCAGCCTTAATCTAGAAGTTCAAGGATAGACGGGATTTGCTTGGATTTGATTGGTCAGGGTCAAATGAGGCCATTTGGTTGAAAAAAAAAATAATAACATTTAACGTTATGATTTCCACAGCACAGGGATTTTTTTAGTCCTCTGTTTCAAGATGAACAGTTCCTTGCATTTATGAAGCAATACATACCCTGTAATAATATTTTTCTTCATTGTTGTTGATGAAAATTAAGTCCCTAACCCATCCACAAAACTTGACATTTCACAGCTCGTTTTAGAGTGACACAGATCTCTTCCTCCTCCTGGAAAAATCGTCTGTGTGAATGAAGTTAGAAAGAGCCTTAGTGAGGTGACTGTCCGATGTCTCAGTGCTGTTCCCAAAGTCAGGGCTCTTCAGGCAAGGGCACAAGCAACGCACGATGGCCCGGCGGATGTAGCTGTCAAAGACATAGTAAATGAAAGGATTGACACAGCTGTTGGCAAAGGCCAGGGGCCCACTCACCTCCATGCCCAGCTGAAGGAAGGCTGCAGGGAAGTGCAGTTCTTGCTGCAGGCCAGAGACAATAGCCAGGAGTTTGAACGTGTTAAAGGGCAGCCAGGAAAACACAAAAGCTGCCACCACAATCAGGATGATCTTGATGGATTTCCTCAGCTTTTTGTTATGCTTTCCTGACTGCTGGTAATGGGAACACAGCTTCCTTGTAATGCAACAGTAGCAGGTCACGATGCTCAACAAGGGAACAAAAAAAGTGAAAATCAAGGCCACCAGGGCCCACATCAGCTTGACTGATGTTGCTCTCTTCTCTGCACAGTATGGCTTATCATCAATCAGCGTGAGCTCCCGAGACAGAAGGGTGGGCAATCCCAGGAGGCAGGAGAATATCCAGACACTGGCACAGATTCCATACGCACAGTCCCTCCTCCTGTATCTCCTGGAAGTGGTGGGACAGAGGATGGCCAGGTAGCGATCAACACTCATGCAAGTGAGCAAGAAGACGCTGCAGTGCATGTTGACCGAAATCATGTAGGAGCTGCCTTTGCACAGGAAAGATCCAGTCCTCCACAGCCCTAGGGATGCTTCCTTGTCCACCCAGAGAGGCAGCGTGACGAGAAAAATGAAGTCCGAAGCAGCCAGGTTGACGATGAAGATGTCGATCAGTCTTCGGCTGCCACGTTTGAAATGGAGCGCACACATGAGCACGAGGTTCCCCAACACTCCAGTCAGAAACACTGCTGTGTAAAAGATGGGAAGGAAGACAGACGTGTAGGGAACATGGGAGTTTGTGTCCTTGATATCTGGGTTTGAGTTTGTAGCATAGTAATAATCCAGATAGAGCGGTGTTGCTTCTGGGTCCATCACCCAAGATCAGGTGCCAGTCTGGTAAGTTTCCTTACCTAGAAGGTTTCTGTGTGAATTTCAGAAGTCACAAGGGACCTTTCTTTCTTTCTTTTTTTTTTTTTTTCTTAGATATATATATATACACAGTACCTTCCTTTTTTTTTTTTTTTGTCTCTGTAAAGATTGTGGACAAGCATGAAAACATTAAAAATTACAGTTTTCACCAATCCTCACAAAGGGCCTACCAGGAACACCACTCTGATTGGTGTTGCTTAGTTGTGGTCGTGGTTTTCTTCATTTGCATTTGCTCACGAAACTGAGTTGCTTTTTGACTTCTTCAAGGCATTCAACGTGTTAAGTCTAGAAATTAAGAAGTGAATTGACTTTTTTCCTCACCTTCTTCAAAGACCTTCTTTGCTCTTCTGACCCTGAGTATTTTTCTAGTCTTCCACTGCTCATATTAGACACTGTTGTACTTCTGGAATTGTAAGATGATGAAGGTGAAGAGATTCTTATTTATGCCCTTGCTGAATCATGAGGAAAGTTAAAGAGTGAACTAAGCTTTCCAAGTGACAAACCTCATGATTATAATTAGGGCATGAGAGTCTTCTCATTTTCTGAGAGAACTTCAAGAAGTTCATGGAAAATGCCCACTATGAAAACACATGCATGCTTTCAAAACATTTTGCACCATTTTCCAGGGCCCCGCATTTGGTATTTCCATCTTGTATATAATTAATCCTATTTAATAAGGTTTTTTTAACATATAAAAATGGCTGGGAGCCTGCCTCGTGCTTTTACAACGGTTTAAACAATTCCGCTGCAGCAGCCATAGAACTATGCATATAGTTGATGCTTCGAACATATTAATTTATTAGATGTGATTCAGAAACAAAGATTAATTCAGTGTGGTCTAACGGCAGCGCGTTGTTGCTAATTATGTGACTTAACAACCTAAGTTTTAAAAATCACAAATGCTGCTATTCCTAACCTCCTGTCTGCTACTTTAAGTCAGCTAAATTCCCTTTTGTTAGAGGACACATCTCAAACAGGAGACTTTTCTCCTCCTAACCCCCAAATTGTTGTCCTTTACCAGTAGATTGTCCTCTCTGAAAACATATATATATTTAGCTTTAGGGTCCTCACATTCTATTAAGGATCTCCACACATCAGCACCTGCCACTTGGGAATCGCTGACCTGGTAACAGAACAGTTATACTTGCATCAGATGATGGCATAATGGAGTTGCCAGCACAGGGTTCACAAAAAGCAAGATTTTTAGTGCAATCAAAACATCCCCAAAACAGGCTGACACAGAAAGGATTCTATCCTGCATTTTGCTCATAGGTTTTCTTTTCACTTGATCTTAGCCAAAGGCTGATGGGTGGCATGTTTCCTTTTCTGTACTGAAGACCACAGCAGAAAGTAATACATTGTGAAACTGACTGCATTTCAGTTCTTTACTAAGCTAACATGAACCAAGGCTCTCTTGCACCCTCTTTTTCCTCCTTTCCTTCCCATTATATTACTTATTCTGCAAAATTCCAGTTTCGGATTACTACTACTACCATAATGAAGGATGTGTGCCTGTTGATAAACACACAACTGTTAAATGGTTGAGGTCATTTTTGTTGACTTCAGTTCAGTGATGAGTATGTTGAAGAGAATGACCCTGCCTGTGCAGCTCTCTCCTGCCGTTTTCTGAGGCAGTGTCAGGCAAGTGAGTCCAGGCCAGGGAGGGACCGAGCACTCTGCTCACCAGGGGCAGCACCAGCACGTCTCTTCTTCTCCAAGGCCCCAGGCTGCTCTGTGGAGTTCATTGAATTTCACGAGGGGCATAGCTTTTACCAAATAAAGAGCACAAATCATAGAAACTAATTAACAACTTTGTCATTTCTGGGACAAACTCTTCTCCAACGGGTAAGCCTCAATTATTTCATACAATAATTGGTTTTGTCAAACAGTTAGAAGTAGGGCAATATTCACTTGAAAGAGACGAACAGCATAGCGTACATATTTAAACACTCAAAGTGTATACTATAGTATCAAATACATATATTCTTTACTTGTAATTGTATTTCATTGTATTGTTAAAATTCTGTACTCTGCAACCAATTAGATTGTTTTTGTTTCAGAATTATTTTTTCATATTCATATGATATCAGGAATTCAATATAAAATATGAAATATTAGGAAATGGAACAAGCTTATAAATATTTGAACATGTGTTTATTTAGTAGTCTTTACATTTTCTTTCAGGTTCAAAAGTTGCTAGCCTGCAACTTTCTCAAAAAGTTACTTTCTGAGAAGCTGACGCAGTTGTAAAAATGGTTTGCTTTATAATAGGTGACTACATTGAAGCAGGCTGTTTAGCGATACAGTGCCACACTCTGAAAATATGCATCGCAGATCCACAGTATCTTGGGATTTAAGTAAGAAAAACAATGTTTTTACATGTTTTAAGCTCCAAAAAAGGAGCAAATGAACAAAAAAGTATGGAAATTTCAAAAATTCAAATACAATGTTTAATTTTAAGACAGAACCTACAATAAAAGATGGTTAGATAAAGTAGGGTAGGTCATTGTTCTAAACAAGTGGGTGTAATGGTCATTTGTACAGCTTCACTTACTCTTTGAGATATAGGTGAGGATAGCCAGCTGCATGAGGGGTTCTATCATCATTTGAAAAAGCAGATTAAATAGGGTGATGAAAAGAAATTCTATAGATATTAGTAACTGAATGACAGCATAATGCCACCTCCTAAGAATTATTTTCTCAGGATAAAACTCAACTTGCCAGCCAATCCCTTGCAGAAGCAGTTGTTTCTACCTTTGTCTTTTCTTAGGACTTCTAAAACATTGCTTTTACAAACTACTTATTTACACATTTCACAAAGCTAATATTTGGTATTTCACTCCCTGAGCTGAATATCAGTAACTTCAGAGGCACAGCCTATCTGCAATTTTTTAAGGACTCTTAGCATATGGGACTTACCCAGTTAAGGCTCTGTTCAGACTTTCATAGTCACTGTTTTGAACCTATGAATGCCAAATTTCATTACACATGGTAGGGTCAACCATGACATCTACTAAAATACAAACTGCCAACCAACTGCTGGAACAACTGCATCAGAACGATTTGGAATCAAATCTGAGACTTGAAAGTATCCAAAATGACTCTTAACACATACTAAACAAAGGTTAGAACCAAACAAAATTTAAACCTATTTTTAACTAATCTGACTGAATTTATGTTATGCACTGTTAATATTTTGACTAATTATAAAACAAATCTTAAAAATTGTCTCAGAACTTGAATTTTGTAGAAATGAAGTCTTTCAGTCCATGTAAAAATGTTTTAGGAATTAATTTAGAGTTCTAGACTTTACTTTCAAAATAGTCCAATTCCTTGAGATACGTTCAGAACTGGATTAGATGTTGAAGATGGGGCAAGAATAAGATTTTGCCTACTGTCCTGACTATTCGAGTGAGTCCATTATCATTTAGTACTTGGTAATAGCAAGGGTGGGCAACCGCTGTCTCACAGATGGGATGAAGAGTAAGACTAGAGCTCCCCAGGTAGGTTGTAATGTAGCAATATCACTTCAGTTTCTTCCAGTCAGTATTTCTGGCCCTTACATGAGGAAGAGATCGGTCAGTTTATCTACATGTAACACAGAAGAGATCCCTAAATGGGAAGCCTTCTGTTCACACATGTTCCTTCAATATTTCCAGAATAGACTGTAAAATGCGTGAAGCAGATTATTTCTCATCAATCTTATGAGTGATTTTATGTTCATTTTCTAGAAGGATATCTAGTCTTATTTATTGCCTACTTGAATTTTGTAAAGTGTACAATAATTTAAATAATCCATTTTAAGAAAATTATACCCCGGGAGTTCAATGATTATTTTTTGTTTTCACAGTTATTAGGACAATTTAATACTACATGGTGATACATATGTAATCTTGCCTCTTGCCAAGTATTTGGGGGCTTGCACAGCCAATTAAGCTACTACCTGTAGTGCTGGCATCCCATATGGATGCTGGTTTAAATTCTACCTGCTCCATTTCCAATCTACTTGCTTGCTAAAGTGCTGAGAAAGCTACATAAGATGACCTAAGTCCCCGTGTCCCAGTCATCAACATGGAAGAGCCAGAAGAAGCTTCTGACTCCTGTCTTCATCTTGGCCCATCCCTGGTCATTGCAGCCACTTGGGGAGTGAATCAATGTATAGAAGATCTTTCTCGTTAATTCCACTTTTCAATTAAATAAATAAATAAACTTTTAAATAATGTGTTACATCAGATTTCCTTCCTTTACTTTCTCTTGATAATTTATATTTACATAGACAGCAATGATGTCACAATTCTAGGAACATATAAGATAAACTTCATTATAATAGTGGATTCAAATTGAATATGAGAAACATTGTTTATTTTTGTTGGTGTCCCTTGCACTTCAGCACTGTATCTAACATGAAATAGCTGATCAGTAAATGTTTGTGAACTGGGATGACCAAACTTGAACTTTGAAGCATTTCAAAGAATAGGAATTTTTCACAAACTTCTTAGTTCCAATTTTACATTCAACCCCAGGATCCTTGTTATGTAATAAACAAATTTGGAGAGATGTTTCTAAGTTCGGATGGCATATTTTTTTTGTTAATGTAGACTGTTTCATTGAGCACTTCTCATTAAATTAGTACTAATTCTCTAAATAGTAAATATGAAAATGTTTCCACCACAACTTAATAATAAGTGTGATGGATTGTAATGAGGAAGGATCTATCCAATGTAGATTTCTTTTTCTAATTTAAAACTAATCAGTGATAGTATTTCCTTATCTGTGATGAATATTACTTTTTGAAAAAAAATATTGGGGGGTTGAAAGTTCACATCTATAACTATGCCAATAAATAAAAATCGGAAGATATCAAAAAATTTTTTTTCTTTCATGCTTTCTGCCTTCCCTGTGATTGCTGCTCTTGTTTGAAACAAGAATGTTGCTGTCTTTGATAATCAGAACACATACAGTCTCTTTCTCTTTGATCTTTTGCTTTTCACGATCTCTGCTTCACCACATACATTGCCTATCCTAGAGCTGCAAGATACACAAACTCAGCAATGAAGCGCCAAGGTTGTGGAACCATGGCAATAATATCTTATAGCTCTTCTTCCAACAGAATGATAAAATTTTAGAGCTTCAAGCTATATTAGTGATCATTAATACAACTATTTTATTACTGAAGATTTTGGGACCCAGAATGAGATTGCTCAACAAAGCCTTCGCATGGTGATCATACAGACTAATTTAAGCTTCTCATCCACATGTGTTCTGCTCACTATCCTTCAGAAGCATGCTTCTAACTGTGGCTTGTTAGCTGGAGATGGCACTTCACAGGAATTGCAACACAGAAATTCAAAAAATGGGATAGGAGGCGTTTTAGATGGATTTTTCTGTTTGTCTTGTCCTTAACTAATTTTTGTCGTTTTTCTATGATCAACTGGCAGAAGGAAATTAAAAGATTGATACATATTTTGAGGTTGATTTTTGGTTGAAATTCAGAACTTTTATGTATTTCTATGTTTTAGAGAAAACAACCAGCACAAAGCTATATGAAAAAAACATAGTGAATGTAGAAATAGCTTGCTTAACATGATTCTTAGTTCCTGATAAGAACTATTAAAAAACAAATTCATACTAAAGTATATTAGCGAATTCTGTGTTAAAAAATTCTTATGTGAAGATTTGTTCTATAACAAGTTATAATAAATGTTATATTACTAATAAAAAATAATAAAACCCACTTAACACCTGATTTCCAATTATTGGGTTCATTTTACAATGTAGTGTAATTAAAGTGCTTATGTGCTTAGACTAGAATCACTTTTAGCAAGTGAAACTGAAGAACCTAAGTGTTTTCTGCTTTTGTGATTTCTGCCTTACTTGCCTGGCTGGGGGCTGTGTGAACTCCAGGCCTGACAGCCTGCGTGACCCCGGCAGGACACCTGGCAGGTCACGTAGGCAGAGGCCTCAGGGAGGAGGTCTGTGGTGTAGATAAGACCCACTGCCTTATAGCCCATCAGTTTGTACTTTTCAAAAGTTGCTTCCTTCAAATCCACCAATAGAAATCTGCCAACTTGCTCTTTTTGAAAATTAACAGATAAACTGACCAATCATATTGTATAATCATATGGAATCAGCCTGTTCAATCTCACTCTGTTTTTCTTCTGCTCCTGCTGTTTCTGCTACAGCCTCGTCTGCAGCCATCCCTCTCCCCCAGCCCTGCTGGGTTGGTGTGGTGGTGTTAGGATGGTGGCTGGGAGCCTAGGTTAACCTGAATAAACTGTCTTTATGTGTTTGCATGACTTCAGACTCCTGATGATTTTCTGGGGATCGCAAAATCTGGGCACAACAAAACCAGTAGAGGCTTGTGTTGTGCCACTGTGGCTTAGGCCCCTGTGAGGCTTGCAGCACCTGTATCCCACATGAGCACTGGTTTGAGGCCTGGCTGCTCCTACTTCCATGCAGTTCACTGCTGATGTGCTTAGGAAAGCAAGTGGGCCAAATATTTGGGCCTTCCAATCACATGGGAGACAAAGATGGAGTACCAGGCTCCTGGCTTTGACCTGATCCAGCCATGGCAATTGTGGCTATTGAAGTCAACCATCCAATAGAAGATGTCTCTTTCTGTGCCTTTATCCACCTCCTTAACTCATCCAAATAAATAATAATATTTTAAAAGAATTAAACTAGAGATCTCATTCAACTTTGCTTTCAAACTCAGATTCTAAAATCTACTCCTAGTTGCATAAATTATATTAAAGATTTTTAAAAATATGTTAGGTCAACTGTAGTTTCTCATACAGCAGAATTCAAAACAAAAGCATAAATTTAGTTCCATGAACTTAGTGTTTATTTTATACACCCAGATGACAAGCAAGTATAAATAGAAATTAGAAAAGCCCAAAGATCTAGAGATAAGCCAGAACTGTGGTTTGTTTGGTGGAACTGGGTATGGTAAGGCACTTCAGATCTCCTACCTGCAGCGACTCAGGATGGTCAAAACCTCAAACATTCAGGCGTTTCCAGGTCCACACTCAGTAGGTGAGTGGATTGTGTCTGCTTTCTGAGCATTCAGTAGACTTTCGGAGTTAAAGGCAATGTTCTGCTTTGCAAGTCTCCCTGAACAGCTGCCTTCCTCTCAGGACCACTTGTGTGTGACTGAGCCCAGGCCTCGGGCTCTCTGGGGCAGGGCTGATGCAGGAGGCCAGAGGCATGGCTCCTGGCAAGTCTTTCCTGATCCTTGGGCAATGTTCTGCTCTTAGCCAGTAGGGACACTTAACCCAGCTCTGCAGGTAACTTATTTCCAGCCCTAGGGGAAGCTGTAGAGCTTCAGGAAGCTGCTTCCACTGAATTCATTCAAACATCATAGGTATTCAACAAATGTTTGCAAAGACCAAAAATCTAAATGCTCTTTATAAAATTCCAAATTCTGTGCTGGGCAACTGACAATTATTTTCTAATATGATACTTACAATGATTACATAGGACCAATCCTATTGTCCAACATTCATTAGATGTAAGGGTTAAGTCACAAAGTTGAGGATATTTACCTCCTGATTGAAGGTTCCTAAGTCAGTGACTGCCCTGTCTCATTTCCTCTGTGAACCGAGGTTGGTTCTTCTCTTTTTCAGACTTCTCATTTTACCTGGAGTTACTGACCACACTCCTTTATGCAGATCTGAAAGTGGGGGGTTTTTGATGAAGGTCAAGGGGTGAAGATATTTCCTAATCTGTGAGTACATTTCTAAGCCTCCTTTAGTGCCTCTGACAAAATTCTGTTGATTAGATGCTGTAGTGAAAATCAAGAATTATTTAAATGTTGCAGTATTACATTATTTTTTATGTACTTGGGTAGAAATGTTAATTCACTGACAAAGGCAAACAAATATAACCGCAGAGTGCAAATTAGGCTACAGGGCTTGGAAGACAGGTCAGCTGAGCTGGAGGCTTCCACCTTTCCCAGTCAGCCCACATCTGCAGTGCAGCCCATGGACCTAATATTTCTTAGTTAATTTCCCTAACTTCAGACTCTTTCACGTTATATTCACACATTTTAAAAAATCATTTATTCATTTATTTGAGCAAGGGATGGAGGGGGAAGGGATTTGAGAGGAGACAGAGAGAGAGAAATTTCCAGGTACACTGCTACCTCCTGCTCCTTTCTCAGAAGCTGAATTGAGTAATTCAATCCTGATCTCCCAGCTGACCCGACCACGTGAATCAGTAATCACGCGTTTCCTCCCAGGGTGCACATCAGCAACACATTTTCATTCACATTTTATAAGATACCGCCAGTCCTCAGTTGTTTTTTTTTTTCCAGATTAACTAGGAGGTAACTGCAAATTTTATGAAGCCAAGGGATGCCATTCATGAAGCCAAATAATGTCAATACATTCTAAATGTTTGCCATTTGCTGGATCACATCGTTCTTAGCCTAAATTTAATTAAAGCCAGAAAGATTCAAATGTACAATGGGAGATTAAGGGAGAGGGAAGAAAATGGATTCGTATTTCAAAACTAAAACTGTTGCTCGTTCATATCTGGGGATACGGTAGTAGGATACTGAGAGGACTGAATTTAACCCCAGAGTTAGGACGGTCAAGATCACAGCGAGCGAGGACAGAAAGCACCTCGCCTGACGTTTTTGGATCTTCCGGCAAGACTACACGCCCACAGCGAACTACATCCCCCATAGCACACCGCGCGCGGCACCAGGAATGCCAACGGCCTCCTCCGGCGGCTTTCCTGTTGTCCTTCCTACAACTCCCACAAGCCCCCTCGGCCAGGGGCTGTGGCCAGGCCCGGGGTGGAGGCGGAGGCGGAAGCGCGGGAGTTATGGAGGGGGCGGGTTCTGCAGGAAAGTGCGTCAGAGGAAGCGCGGGGAGAGTAGGGTGCTGTTGTCCGAGCTAGAGGGTGCAGCTGGCGGAGCAAGAGGATGGGCGGTGAGTGAGCGGGGCTCGCGTCGGGGGGCGGGGGTCGCCCGCTTCCTGGTGGGCGCGGCCCGGCGTGTGTGGGGCCGCGGGCTGGGGAGGGGCCTGGTCGGGGGCGGGGGTCCGCGCAGGGCTGCCCCGGCCCGGCCCCGGGAGGCCCGCGGCTGGCGTTGGCCAGGGGCGAGGCGCCGCCCCCGGCCCAGGACCCTACGAGGTCATTGCAGAGCCCTAGGATGAAAGGGGGTTTAGAAACAAAAACAAAATAGAAACACCACTTCTGGAGTTGTCGTTAATGATTGCAATCGCCCTGATCTGGCCTGAGTCACTTGCCATCGCCCCAAACTCAGCCTCCCGGTGTGGCGTGCCTGTTTTGGTACACCTTCCTGAGGTGTTCGCTGCGGTCACCGTGTGCACCTGCAGTGCTTGACTCAGCGTGATCCGCCTTGAGTCATTGACTGCGGCCCTTTACTGCTGCCCCTGAGCCCTGTCCACGCCTCGGCAATATATCTCTTCTGTCTTAATTCGCGGTTCTCTTTCCGGCTGAGGAGGGATCCCTAGGTTTTAGGAGCCAGGCTTGAGGGAGGCAGCAGGGTATCAGGTGAGGAGGTTCAGGTGCAGTAGGAATGGAGGGAAGACAGGAGTGAAATAATGTGGCAGCAGAAAGCAGGTGGGCTTATCTGGCGTTGGTGGAGGCGGTGGATAGCCAGCGTTACTGTATGTTAGTGTTTTCTTACTGTTCTGAACATGCAGGAAAGCCTTTGCCTCCGACTTAGCAAATGTTGTCAACTCTCTCGCATAGCTCCTGACTCCTGCCCTTGTTTTGGGAGGCTTCCCTCTTGAGAGGAAACTGGGACAGGCCGATTTCCACTCTTCCTTTTCTCCTGTGCCTTTTCACACCCCAGCCCAGAACACCTCATGCTCCCTCTGATGAACACTGTGCGCACGGTACACTGCTGACACGGGCATGTCTGTGTGTATGTGTAATGTGTATGTCCATTTCAGTGTTGTCTGTTTTAGTATGCAGGTGATAGACTAGAGAACAAGACCTCTGTCTCCGTAGCATCCTGGGTATGTGAGCATTCCATAAGTACTTTTGTGGGGAATTAGTTTTGCTTAAGAACTAAGAATGTGCTTGCTTGCCTTTTCTTCCTTTTTTCTTTCTTTCCTTTATATATCTTTAATATATATTATTTGAATATGTATATATTTTTTACATCGTAGAACCAAGGGATGGGGAGTAGTGTGAAGGATGAATTTGACATGATTCCATTCTAAGGAGTCTTTCTCGTTTGTCTTCTTTTTTTCTTCACCTTTTCAACAGAGCACTCTGAATGCCAGAATGGATAACCGTTTTGCTACAGCATTTGTAATTGCTTGTGTGCTTAGCCTCATCTCCACCATCTACATGGCAGCCTCGATTGGCACAGACTTCTGGTATGAGTATCGAAGTCCAGTCCAAGAAAACTCGAGTGATTTGAATAAAAGCCTCTGGGAAGACTTCATTAGCGATGAGGCTGATGAAAAGACTTACAACGATGCACTTTTCCGATACAATGGCACAGTGGGACTGTGGAGACGATGTATCACCATACCCAAAAACACACACTGGTACAGTCCTCCAGAAAGGACAGGTATTGCTCTTGTTGTCACTCTACTCTCATTTACCTGCTTGATAACATAATGGGGTCTGTGATTGTGCAGTTGGATGTAAGCAGATTTGTGGATCCTGCCTCAGTGCCACTTCTACTCCCTAACTTCTGTACATTTGAATTTCTAGAACACTTTCTGAGGGACAGTTTCACGATTTACATATGGCTACTGTTGTTGGCCTCTTAGTGGTGCCGCATTATCTTCAGATCACAGAATAGGCTTGTTTGCCATGTATCAAACAGATGATACGTATCTAAAGGGAGAGAAGTCATATAAAAGGAAGAGAGGGAGTCAGTTAAAAATACATTGTAAAGTGTTCAGTTCTGTTTATGAGGTCACTGAGTACTTGTTACTATAAAACTACTAGTTGTTTAGTCACTTATTCACCAGATGTGTGTTGCATAGGAGAACAAATCCTTACTTGTGAGGAGCTAACACTCATTAGAATGGTAAAGGTGGCAGGCAGTAAACAGAATAAGTAAGTGTAATAACAATATACATAATTATATGGTGTGTTAGAAGATGATATAGTACAGAAAAATGGAACGAAATAAAGATTTGGAAATAAAAGCAGGGAACACTGGTAGGCATAGGTTAGGATTTTCAAAGGGATCATTGATAAAACGATCAAGACTTGATGTGTAAAGATCACATGAGGGAGTTAATCATATGGTTGGTTGGCACAGGTAGTTGGTGGGGTTTGCAAACATTTAGGTTGGAAGGAGCAGCTGCAAAGTTTTCAGGGACGATCAGGGAAGGCCCTAGGCTGCTGTGGAGTAGGAAAAAGAGTTGGTACCCTGGCAGAGATGTACCTTCAGGGCACCACCTGCTAGGTATAATGAGTTGGTATCTGCTCTGGGCTACATTGGAAAGCCTTTGGGGTAGGGCCTGCTTAGAACAGTGGGAAGGTAATTAGAGCAGTCTAACACTGTGATCTGGTTACCCTGGCTGATGAGGTGAGAATAGACGAGGAGGCAGAGATAAAAGCTAGGCCAATGGCTGGGATGCTAACAGTGTGATTCATGTGAGAAATATTTAATTGGGGTAGTTAGTGATAAACAGCTGGATTGATGTATTTTGAGGGAAAAATCTCTAGTATTTCCAGATGGTGTTTATATGGATAAGAATGACTGGAAAATTTCTTGTCTGAGGAGCTGGATGGGTGAAATTGTTTCATGAAATAGTGATCTTGACTAACTAGTTGGGGCGGGAGAGAGCTAAAGCTTCTGTTGGTTTCAGTGTTTGTCCCCTTCTCTTCTTACCTTTCTATTCTGTCATTATGTTGCTGCTCGTTTCATTGTCTTCTGTGTGTCCACATCTCAGTCAGGGCATCCTTGGGCTTTTGTGAGATCTCTTGGTTAGGGCAAAACCAAAGGACTCTCTGGTGACCTCTTTTTTTTTTTAACAACATCTTTTATTTCAGAAACTAATTACTAAAAGGGATTATTGTTAAATGTTTGCAATGGAAACTAAATAATCATTGTTCTTATTCCAGAGTCGTTTGATGTGGTTACAAAATGTATGAGTTTCACACTAAATGAGCAGTTCATGGAGAAATTTGTTGACCCAGGAAACCACAATAGTGGAATTGATCTGCTTCGGACCTGTGAGTATTTTTGTTTCAGTAAAACTATTGAGACAGAAAGGAAATGACTTTTGTTTTATTCAACTTGGCTTTTGGAGCAAGTTGAGGTAGTAGTTAGTAGCCATGCTTAGTAAAAATGAGATCCCCAGGTATCCGCACGCATTCTGATGCAATGAGTTAAGTTGCTGCCAGATTGGCTGGCACCCCCTGTGAGTTCTAGTTCAACAATCAATGCTCTACTTCAAACAATGCTCTACTTCCAGTCAGGCCCCTGCAGATGTGCCTGCAAAAGCAATGGAAGGTGGCCAAAGTACCTGGGCTCTTGCCACCCAGGTTGGAAGACAATGGAATTCCAGGTTCCTGGCTGCAGGAATCTGGTCCAGCCAGGTTCAGCCATGGATGCTTGGGCTATTTGGAGAGTGAACCAACAGATTGACCATCCCACTCACTCTATAACACTTTCAAATTTGTAAAAAAATAAACTAAAATCTTGAGCAGTATCCCAGTGACTTGTGTTCAATGGACAACAGGAAAGGAGGTAGATAACTAACAAGTTTCTGTGATTTGAACTTTAGGGAGGCAGCTAATAAAATTGGATAGTGGAATACAGACTTCCAGAAGATTGATGGTAGACTAATTTTAAAACGTTAGTAGTAACTCTTGAATATCTATATTTGAATTAAACATTTCCAATGGTTAAGTTCAGGCAGGCAGGCTAAAAAAAGTTAGCTGCAGGTTCCAGCTGAGTCAGTCAGGATCAGGACTTCCAAAAGTGTTCATCAAGTATAGTAGGAAAAGTGTAGATTTTTACAATGGAATTATTCATTAGGAGCATTGTTCCCTGATGGTCAGGCTGTCCTTGAGACTCATACTGTCTTGAGTTTGACCTTCAGTTTTAGGGCTGTGGAATCCCAGTGGAGCCTGCCTGGGGACAATGAGTGTTATGAGAGGAAACTTTCAGTAACCCACAGTGTTCAGGTTTTCTTTTTTTGTGAGATTGCAGAGGAAGAAGTTAATTATCTAGCAATTTGAAGAAAACTTAATTAGAAGAAAAGGCTGTTTCCAAGTAAAACTATCCCTAAGATTGAAAAAAAAAAAAAGGAAGAATTTGTCTAAGAATGATAGCAATAATGTACTAATAGCAATGAAATGTTAAAGGCCATCAGCTTGCCATGTTGATGGGGGCATTTATGATCATTGAAACTTCCATTTATTTATTTATTTATTTAAGATTTTCTTATTTGAAAGGAAGAATTGCAGAGAGAGGGAGGGAGAAACAGAGATCTTCCATCTGCTGGTTCATTCATTAAATGACTGCATTGGCCAGAGCTGGACCAGTCCAAAGCAAGGAGCCAGGATATCCTCCTAGTTCTTCCTGTGTGGCTTCTGGGGCCCAAGCAGTTGGGTCATTTTTCACTGCTTCCCAAGTACATTAGCAGGGAGCTTGATGGGAAGTGGAGTAACTAGAACTTGAACCGGCACCCACATAAAATGCAGGCACTGCAGGCAACAGCTTTATATGTTGTGCCACACTGCTAGTCCCTAAAACTATCATTTATTGAGTGGAATATTTCATATCAACTTTGTTGTACTTATTTATTTATTTGTAATGGCCTTGCAAACACCATTCACTTACCATTACTTTTAGATCCTACAAAGACCCTAGTTGTTATATGTTGAACTAGACTGTCTTTGCTTTAAATTTTGACTGTCACTTAACTGTTATTTTGCATAAGCTGTTTATGCTTTTTGCCTTAGTTTATTCAATACTAAAATTGAAATTGTAATAATGTGTACTTCCAGAGATGGTGGGGAGGATTAATAGACAAAGATATACAGAACACATATTATATGGCATGTACGTTGTTGTTGTAAATAGTAGTGACCGTTTACTTTTACCATGCACAGTTAGCGTCCTTTTGAACCATGTGCTGTAGGAAAGTGGCCTTCATACAAAATTACTACTTTCTTTTTGAGAAAAGATCAATTAGAATATGGAAGTGGGGCTCAGTGTGGTAGGCTAGAGGCAAGTCCTCACCGTGCACACATTCATATCCTTGATGCTTGTGGCCTACAAAAGCAGTAGAGCTTTGGGACCCTGTGTCCATGTGAGAGACCTGGAGGAAGCTCCAGGCTCTTGGCTTCTGATTGACTCAGCTCTGGTTGTTGCACGCTGCTTGGCGTGTGAACCAGCAGATAGAAGATCTTTGTCTCCTGTTTGTAAATCTGACCCTCTGGGCCCATGATGGTAGCCTAGCGGCCAAAGTCCTCACGTGCCATACACTGAGATCCCATATGGATACCGGTTCGTATCCTGGCGACCCTGCTTCCCATCCAGCTCCCTGCTCATGGCCTGGGAAAGCAATTGATGTGGGCCCAAAGCCTTGGGCCCTTGCAATCCTTTTGGGAGACCCAGAAGAGGCTCTGGGCTCCTGGCTTCAGATTGGTGCAGCTCCAGCCATTGTGGCCACTTGGGGAGTGACCAGCAGACAGAAGATATTTCTTTCTGTCTCTCCTCCCCTCTGTATATCTGACTTTACAATAATAAAAAAAATGACTTCCCAATAAAAATAAGTAAATCTTTAAAAAATTATTTAATAATAGAAAAGTAATTATTATTGTGAAAAACATGTCCTGGAAGTGCAGTACCATTTCTTTTCCTTCTCTCTTTTACAATCAGATCTTTGGCGTTGCCAGTTCCTCTTGCCTTTTGTGAGTCTGGGTTTGATGTGCTTTGGGGCTTTAATTGGACTGTGTGCTTGCATCTGCCGAAGCCTGTATCCCACCATTGCCACAGGCATTCTCCATCTCCTTGCAGGTAGGTCTGGTCCTTATACTTACTTTTTTTTTTTTTTTTTTTTTTTTTAGTGGATAATACTAGTATGTTTTCCATATTGTTACCTTCATGTTTAAAGGGGGTTATTTAAGGGAGAAGGCCCACCCAATTTCCCACCCTCCCCAGGTCCCAGATGTAGGGCATGCTCTGAGGTTCTTGCTCAAGTGGTTTTGATATTGCCACAGTCATGAATCGCTGTCAATCTTGCCACTCCAAGCACTATGAGATCTTTGAAAAATCAACTGATTGACATAGTCCATCATAGCTGAGATGGTTGGTTGACCTGTTCTGTCTTCTCTCTTTTCTTCGTTAGGGTTCTGAGTCCAGCATTTAGATTAGGAAGATCTCCAAAGAAACTTCTTGTATGTGCTAACAAGTACAGGGCCTGGCACCGTCTATCGCTCCAATCAGCTGGTGGTTGCAGTTGCTGGGTTGGTTCTGTTTTCACTCCCGACTTCCACTGGAACCAATGGGTGTTGCAGTCCAGCCTGGTTCTGCCCAGCACATACTTGGTCCTCACATAAACCAGCGGGAGCTGCAGCCTAGGTTGGAGCGACCCACAATAACCCCCACCAGGCCCACTCCCTACCCTGGTTTGCCAATAAGTGTAGCAGTAATCCAGTCTGTCCCACACCCCATTCCACCCCAGCCGCTATCTTAGTTATCTTAGTTTTATGTCCTGTGAAAGTGGTAACCCAAGAAGGATGAGCCCACTATTTCCCTCCCAGGCCTCTCCCACTCCCAGATTCCAGTTGATGCTGCGTCTAAGCCCAAACACCCCTTGCCCACTTTAATTTTGCTTGCACCAGTAGGAATAATCCGCCCAGCCCGGCTTTTCCCTGATCTGGTCCGCATGAGGCGCACAGGTGTGGTAGCTCTGCCTAGTCTGGTCTGCCCCCATCCCAGCCCATGCTCTCCTGCGGAAGTAGCTGTCCTGCAAGGGAACCCTCCCTTATTCCCCTGCCGGCTCTGCCCACTTCCTTTCTTGTTCTCAGGCTGGTAGGGCGCTGCGGTCCCTTCCAGTACAGGCAACCTCACCTCGGCATTCCATAATGTGCACTAGTCTTTGTTGCGACCAACCCTAGGTCGACCCACACTGGTGCCTGGATTTGCCAGTGGATAATGTGGACAGATTCAGCCTGGTCTTGCCCCCACATCAGCCAATTGTATGCCAGTGGGTAGCTTTCCATGGCCTTTTCTGGGCTGTTTCCTATCATGTTTCTTGCGTTTACCTGCCTGGTCTGTGTCCTGCCAGAGGAGTTGCCCAGGCTCCTCCATCAGAACCTCTCCCAATGCCAGGTTTCACGCTTACCAGTGGGTCCATGAGCCAACCCTACTCAGTCCACCTCCTGTAATAACAGGAACTGTGGCTTTTCCTGTCTGGCCTTCCACCCAATCTGGTTCTTGCTGTTGGATGTTCCAGCCCAGCCATGGTTTGTCTACACCCACATTTGGCTCACACATGGCTCAGTAGGGGTTTGAGACCCTGCCTGGTCCATCCCACATCTGCCCTGGTCCTCCAGAACACCAGGGGGAGTCGGGGTCCGGCCCGGTTCGGTGCATCCAATCCCAGTCCACACTTGTGCCAAGGGAGACTACAACTGTTTCCAGATCAGAACGCAGCTCCCTTTCCAGGTCACACGCCTCTTGGTGGGAACCTCAGCCCAGCTAGGGTTGTCCCCTTTGCTCCCCAACCGGGTCTGTTCCCAGCCATAGATCACTTGCCTGCCAATGGATGCTCTGACTCAGCTTGGCACAGCTCCTCACCTGTCCCGACCTCTGCCTTAGACACTGTGGCTTAGCGTCCCTGGCTCCCACAGACCAGCAGGTACAAGAACCTAGCTCGGCAAGACCTCTGCTCCCTCCTGGTTTCTAGTTTTACTTGTGGGCTAAGGTTTGTTCAGTCGTGCCTAATCTACTCTGTCCCATTACCAGTTGACACATTGGCCAACTGTTGGAGCTACTTTTGCAAGACAGGCCCCAAGCCCTAGCTTCTGCATGACTGGTATTTGGTACTCAGAATTATTAGTGATTTAAAGTTTTGCTAAGGAAGAGTTACTGCCTGTTTCAGGTCCAAGAAGCACAATGGGTTCAAACTGGAGAAACTCAAAGAACCAAATCCCCAGAGCTCCCCGGCCGGGCGGCCAGCAGGCAGAGCCTTGCACCAAATGGCGTACTGGCCGCCCGGGGACAGCTCAGCACATGGCGGCTGTCCGGGATCCAGGCATGAGACGCCCCGTCCTGAGACCCACCAGCTGCCAGGAGGCGCTGGAGGTTTAAATAACCCAGGCCCAAGGTCGCGCCCCTCCCAAATCCCATTCACCACCCCATGAGGGCGGCGGGTGGGTGCCGGGCCTGCCCAGTCCCGGAAGGCCTCCCCCTCGGTCTACTCACCCTGAAGGAAGCGGCCCCCGGAACCAGCAGGCCCGGGGACAGCTCAGCACATGGCGGCTGTCCGGGATCCAGGCATGAGACGCCCCGTCCTGAGACCCACCAGCTGCCAGGAGGCGCTGGAGGTTTAAATAACCCAGGCCCAAGGTCGCGCCCCTCCCAAATCCCATTCACCGCCCCATGAGGGCGGCGGGTGGGTGCCGGGCCTGCCCAGTCCCGGAAGGCCTCCCCCTCGGTCTACTCACCCCGAAGGAAGCGGCTCCCGGAACCAGCAGGCCCGGGGACAGCTCAGCACATGGCGGCTGTCCGGGATCCAGGCATGAGACGCCCCGTCCTGAGACCCACCAGCTGCCAGGAGGCGCTGGAGGTTTAAATAACCCAGGCCCAAGGTCGCGCCCCTCCCAAATCCCATTCACCACCCCATGAGGGCGGCGGGTGGGTGCCGGGCCTGCCCAGTCCCGGAAGGCCTCCCCCTCGGTCTACTCACCCCGAAGGAAGCGGCCCCCGGAACCAGCAGGCCCGGGGACAGCTCAGCACATGGCGGCTGTCCGGGATCCAGGCATGAGACGCCCCGTCCTGAGACCCCTTTATACTTACTTTTTACCATCTTCCCCGTCCCTAGGTCCCAAAGGGTTGTGATTCATTAACATTCACAACTGCTCTTAAATTACTTGAAAGCTCTTGACAGAATTCTTACCTAGACATGTTTTGTTTTCTGCGTTTTCCCCTTAAGGTCTCTGTACACTGGGCTCAGTGAGTTGTTATGTTGCTGGAATTGAACTGCTCCACCAGAAACTGGAGCGGCCTGAGAATGTGTCTGGTGAATTTGGATGGTCCTTCTGCTTGGCTTGCGTCTCAGCTCCCTTACAATTCATGGCTTCTGCCCTCTTCATCTGGGCTGCTCACACCAACCGGAAAGAGTACACCTTAATGAAGGCATACCGTGTGGCGTGAATGAGAAACTGCCTGCTCTACAGTTGCTTTTTTAAATTAATTTTTAATATCGATATTCTTCCTGGCTTTCTTTCCAGTTTTTGATTTTAATCTTTTTTGTGGATTTATCATTTTACCCAGAAGATCCATTTTATTTATACATATACACTACTAAACAATACCACTGAAATATACGTGGCTTATTCTGAGTGGTTCTGTCATTTAAATTCAGATTCAAGACACAAAGAAAGGGGTAGAGACATGGCACATATTTGTGAAAGAAAATTGGCAGTGGGAAATTGACCCAGAACAGATTCTGCTGATGTTGTTAGCAGTAAAATAGTTATGTCTTTTGGAGTAGAAACTTGGTAATTTCTTTGGGAAACCTCTGGTCGTTGCGCTAACTTCCTGTTCAGGTCAGCGTTTTAGATAGCCAGGCAGCCAGTGGCGTTAGTGCTGTTTTCAGTCTGGAACTTCATGGACATTGGGAAGCTACCTAAGATGCTTTCTCAAGGCTTCGGCAGGTGCTTTCCTGTGAGGTTTAAAGTGGCAGCTGATTATAGCTGCACTGTGTCTGTCTAAGAGGAAAGAGGTGGAAAATACAATGTTTACTTAAATTTTATAACTGCAGGAATTTCAGTTCAGCCAGACCAGATGGTTAATATTATTTGTGTAGTTCTGTCTTGGGACTTTGAGTGCTACCAAGCCACTCTGAGCTTTTGCCCTTCTGTCCTCACACCAGGTTTTTGAAGAGTGCTTCCTCTTCACATCACATTGGGATTCCAGAGCAAATTCTCTAACCGCTTTTCTTTGTTCCAAGTACCACATAGAAGGGTCCACCACCAACAACCTTCAGCTGGGAAAACTACCACAAGATCTAAAGCTTTAGCCGTTAGCCTCCAAATATGGTCTTTACTTCTTGTGGTGAAATTATGTGCCTTTCCTTGCCTAAACTCCTTCCTGGTATGTGTCAACATTATTTGTCATCTAATTGATTCAGTTTTTTTTTTACAAATATGTCTATAAACATTGAGCTTTTAAAACTCTTTTTATTCCATTACTGTAGCACTTCAACAGATTTTAAGAAATGTAACTTAGTAATTTCTTACCATATCCTAAGTCTTTTTTAAAAAAAAATAAAATGAAAAATGAGAAGAGACTCAAATTATTGTGTAGAGTGTCTCAATTGATTTACATTCCAGTACCTTAGGATAAAGTAGTGGAGGAATCACTGGGGATCTCTGTAGAAAATGCAGACTATTGATGTTACAGGTATACATCTATGTCCTGTTTTGAGGACTGTTATATTTCTCAGAAAATATGGGAACCCCATCCCCCATTAAATAATAAAATTTTGTCTTATTTGTTTTGGAATTTTAAAATATTTTAAATCTAGGTTTACTCTCTGTCATACGTAGGTGGCTAGTCTAATATCTTAACAGGAAAGATGAAGTCAGTGTCAGAGTTAAGCAAAACCAACAGCACTCTAGTTGATTGCCTCTGAAACCCACGTGTTAACTCTGGAAGTTACATTGTTCTTTTGTGGAAAATAGAAAAACTCTAGGAGCAAACAGAACTTAATGGGAAGGTGATTTAAAGAAATTGCAGAATGACACTTTAGGGATGTCATTTTAACATAGTGTCCTATACCCTCTTTTAGCCCCAGAATCACCTAGTGGCTCAGTGTAAACCAAGCTTTAGGATAAATTGTGGATGCAGTTCTGACCGGGATAGTCTCATACATATAGAAAGCTAATGTCATAACCATGTTCCTGAATCTATGATGCAATTGGTATTTATAGCACATTGTTGAATAGCTGAAGTTAGCTCTCTTGCAAAAACTTTTCTTTGTAATACATGGTACCATGCTTTTTAAAAATGTGATAGTGTACTTTTTCAGGTGTCTATGTCTTACTGAATTGACCCCTGTGATGTTGCTGCTGTCTAACCATTTTTCATTGATCAAATGTCATAAAATCAATGGCAAGGTAACTTCTGTTAATCTCTGTTTATCTTTGAAAGCAATGCCCAAAGTAAAAAGCTTCCAAATATTCCAAACATGAGAGTTATGGTAACTAGAGAAATTTACTTTTAAGATATCTTGTTTGTTTTTAGATTTATTTATTTTACTTGAAAGAGTTAGAGAGAGAGAGGAAAGAAGAGACAAAGAATGAAAGAGCGAGATCTTCCATCCACTGGTTCATTCTCCCAGTGGCTGCCATAGCCAAAGCTGGTCTGGTCTGAATTTGGGAGCCAGGAACCTCTTCCAGGTCTCATGTGGCTACAGTGTTCCAAGAACCCAGGCCATCCTCTGCTGCTTTCCCAGGCCATTGGCAGGGAATTGGATTGGAAGTAGAGTAACCAGGGCTTAAACTGGTGTCCATGTGGGATGCTGGCACTGTAGGATTATCTTGCAATGCCACCGTGTCAACCCTAAGACCTTCATTTTATAGACCTAATTAGCTAAATAACAGCAATAAACACATATATGCTTTTTAGCAAAAGGCCCATTTCAGAATTTAAAGATAGACATGAAGACAATCAAAGTTGGTACGATAAAAAAGACAGAACAATGCTAGAAGGTTCATTTTCTTGAATAGTGAAGTATGCCAACCATTTATGTCATAATATACTAGGATTACAATGAATAGTTACTTGTTTAACAACTATTGCTTGTCCTAACTATTGAGGTGTGTTTGTGTAGGAGGGTTCTTTAAAGAAAAACTGGGTGTTATGAACAACCATGCATGAATTTCAAAATTTTTACCAAAATAAACTTTTATTTTCCAGCCACTTTTGAAATACTTTAGGAATGGAGCATGGAATGTAGTTGATATGTCTCTAAGAGGTGAACCATCTGTCATTTTTAACCTGATAGAGAATGAGATATGCTCATAAAAGTCAATTTGAGTTTATTTATTTATTTATTTTTAATATTTATTTATTTTTATTGGAAAGGTAGATATGCAGAGAGGAGGAGAGACAGAGAGGAAGATCTTCCATCCAATGATTCACTCCCCAAGTGACTGCAGTGGCCGTTGCTGCGCCGATCCAAAGCCAGGAACCAGGAGCTCTTCCAGGTCTCCCACGCGGGTGCAGGATCCCAGGGCATTGGGCCATTCTCAACTGTTTTCCTAGGCCACAAGCAGGGAGCTAGATGGAAAGTAGAGCTGCCGGGATCAGAACCGGCGCCCATATGGGATCCCAGTGCATTCAAGGTGAGGACTTTAGCCACTACTCTATCGCTCCGGGCCCGAGTATTTTTCTATTCCAGAAAGAGCAGCAGATTGCAGACTGGCACTGTTTAAAGATCTAGTCATATCCAGTTAACTCTGAAACACATAATTTGAGGCTATTTTAATGTTTAATCCTCATGTAAGCTTTCATGTAAAATGAAAATAATCTGTTGAATTAGCCTGATTTTGCTGATAGCCACACCTCCCTAGGCATCTGTGTAGCTAAAAAAGCAGCTAATAGGCACAGGTCTGAAGATGCAAATTGGTATTTCACAAGCAGACACAGCTCTGTCCCGGCCCAGATGGGTGGGGTTTCCGGTCCTCTTCCAGCCTTCTTGGAAGTGAATATGATTCATTCCTTGGACTGAAAGCAGCACAACAGGAACTCATTTATGGTTTAGTAAATCATTTTTACTTGCTCAATGGGTGTTTTGACACTGCTTTGATGAGCTACATTTTCCATTGAGTTCAAATTATAGCTACTTGTTGATTTCCTGCAAATTTGTGTTGTGAAAATTGCTGGCAGAGAATTAAGAATGGTGATTTAGTCTATAGACATTATCACACAGAGCCATAAAATTCTCTTCAGTGTCAGATTATCTGCTGATAAAATTGATGTTCTTTGCATATACACAGAAACATAGGCAGTTTCAATAAATTTGAGTAAGGCAGAATACCACATATTAGTTGCTCTCAACCTTGGAGAGGTTTAGAAATGTGAAGTGAGAGAATCTTTGTACTGTCTGTGTTTGTCTTTTAAAATACTGGAGTTCCTGTGTATCTACTGACTCAGTGTCTCAGCATAGGAGTGTGCCTGATCTGTCTTACGGCCCCTTCAGCCTCTCCCAGTTCTCTAGCAGTTTGTTCTTTATTTGTTTAGCTTGTATTGTCATGTATTCAGAATTGTGTTTGACTCTCTTGCTTCACTAATCTCCCAATGGCACTTTCCTTCACAATCTTTAGTTTTCTCTTCATAGACTCTACTGCACTGTTTCCTTAATCCCAAAATAGTGAGGATGGCCATTTAAAACTGTAGGATTGACTGTTATTCAACATTGTGGTTACAATGCCCATGCCCCGAATTGGAGTATCTGAGTTTGATGCCTGCCTCCACTTCCCTGCTTATCTAGATCCTGGAAGACAACAGAGATAACCCAGATAATTGGTTTCCTGCCACCCAGGATAGAGACTGGAATTGAATACTTAGATTCCAGGCTTTTCCCTGACCAAGAACTGGCCATTTCAGGCATTTGGGGAGTGAACCAGCAGAGAGGAGCTCTTGGTTCCCAGCTGTCTGCCTCTCAACTAACAACTTTAAAAATGCTGTCATATTTTATCTGCTTAATTCTAACCATCTCTGTTGATTTGTTGCTCCTTGCTGTACATGTTGCAAACCTCTATGAAAGCAGTCTTTTGGAAACTTTTCTCTTTTCAACTTATACATAAGGAAATTATGCCTTCTGTAAGAAGAGAATGTTAGAATGGAATTTTACAGTGTATACAACAGTTGCTTGTTTCTCTCTATAAAAGCAGTGTGCTATCTGACTGGAGAAATGTCTGGAATTAGGGAATCCAGAAGCCAGATAATATTTGGTGGTTAAGAATACAGCTTGATAGAATATTGCCTTTGCAATCCATGTCTGCCTGCTAACCTTTCCATTTTCTTCTTTCCCATTTGTAAAAATGCCCTGCTTATTATGCCTGCTTCATGAAGCTGCTGTGAAGATTCTGTAAACTTCTCAGCTTAGACGCTCAAAAACAGTCACCACTGGCTGCATTATGAAGGGGTGGGGGTACCGAGTCACTGATGTGGTTCAGCATGGGGCACCCGCAGGAGTGTCATGGAATTTTTTAAGGTACTTGCCAACCAGAGAAAGATTTAGTTTGATATCTAATTAGGTGGTTGTGATTATTGCAATTCTTTAAAGTCTTCCTAGTTATTAAGTGTGTACATAAGTTTGAAAACTTAGTGCTCACTTCAGCAGCACATATACTAAGTTTGAAAACTTAAAAGCAAGAACTATTGTGTTTCTTGTCTCTCAGGCAGATTATTAGAAAGAGATGGTGGCTGCTGAGTAAACAGACTTGACCTAGTGCCTGCTTCCCCCCGCCCCTTTTTTTTCTTTTAAGATTTATTTTTATTGAAAAGTCAGAAATACAGAGAGGAGGAGAGACGATGAGAAAGATCTTCCATCCGATGATTCACTCCCCAAGAGAGCGCAACAGCCGATGCTATGCCGATCCGAAGCCAGGATCCAGGATCCTGGAACTTCTTCCAGGTCTCCCACACGGGTGCAGAGTCCCAGGGCCTTGGGCCGTTCTTGACTGCTTTCCCAGGCCACAAGCAGGGAGCTGGATGGGAAGTGGAGCTGCCAGGATTAGAATCAGCGCCCATATGGGATCCAGGTGCGTTCAAGGTGAGGACTTTAGCCACTAGGCCACGCTGCTGGGCCTTAGTGCCTGCTTTTCAGAAGCACTTCTCTCTTGTGTATTCTAGCACCTTCTCATTATCAGCTGTCTTTAACACTCTCTAATCTGTTACACCACCGCTGACTGGGCATGGTGAAGATGAACTCCACACACCCCAGTGCTTGGACCTAAGGGTCCTCATTGGCAGGTGATAGTAAGCCTCAGTTTTATTATGGCTTTAAGTCCAGATTGCAAATAACTACCATGAGTATGTTTTCATGACCCCCATTGTATGCCTGTGATCACAGATAGTATCAAATGCAAAATCATGTTAAAATGTGATTTAGGCATACAAAGAGAGAAATAATACCTACTAAAAGAACAAGGATATAAAAATGTGGCCTCTCCCAGTATACTTGCCTGTAGGTGACCAATCCTGGAAAGTGAGATTCTGGGCAAGAGGGGTTCATATCCAGTTTACTACTTTCAGGGACCCTCTGGTGTGGGGTGGCTGTGCCTTGGCAAAGTAAATATTTTTATTCCAGTATGCTTATTTAACTATATACATATTCTTGGTTAAAATCAGGAATGAAAGACTGATATTTTTTTTTAAAGATTTATTTTTATTATTTTTTTATTGGAAAGGCGGATGTACAGAGAGAGACAGAGAGGAAGATCTTCCGTCCAATGATTCACTCCCCAAGTGAGCGCAACGGGCCGAAGCTATGCAGATCCGAAGCCAGGAGCCTCTTCCGGGTCTCCCAAGCGGGTGCAGGGTCCCAAAGCTTTGGGCGGTCCTTGACTGCCTTCCTGGGCCACAGGCAGGGAGCTGGAAGGGAAGTGGGGCTGCCGGGATAGAACCGGCGCCCATATGGGATCCCGGGCGTGCAAGGTGAGGACTTTAACCACTTGCGCCACCGCGCCGGGCCCAAGACTGATATTTTTAAGAATGGGTGTAGAACGGG